GTACTTACCGAGTGGTGCTTACAGGGTTCCCTATATCCTCCGTGTGGTTGTACTTTTGGCGCTTACAGGGTTCCCTATATCCTCCGTGTGTTTGTACTTACCGAGTGGCGCTTACAGGGTTCCCTATATCCTCCGTGTGTTTGTACTTACCTTCCGATGGCGCTTACAGGGTTCCCTATATCCTCCGTGTGTTTGTACTTACCGTTTGGCGCTTACAGGGTTCCCTATATCCTCCATGTGTGTTTGTACTTACCGTTTGGCGCTTACAGGGTTCCCTATATCCCTCCGTGTGTTTGTACTTACCGAGTGGCGCTTACAGGGTTCCCTATATCCTCCGTGTGTTTGTACTTACCGAGTGGTTCTATACCACTTGTGTTTGTACTTACAGGGTTCCCTATATCCTCCGTGTGTTTGTACTTACCGAGAACGTTCCCCTATATCCACCGTGTGTTTGTACTTACCGAGTGGCGCTTACAGGGTTCCCTATATCCTCCGTGTGGTTGTTGTACTTACCGCTTGGCACTTACAGGGTTCCCTATACCCTCCATGTGGTTGTACTTTGTACTACCGAGTGGCGCTTACAGGGTTCCCTATACCCTCCGTGTGTTTGTACTTAGTGGGTTCCCTATATCCACTGTGTGTTTGTACTCACTGAGTGGCGCCAGGGTTCCCTATATCCTCCGTGTGTTTGTACTTACCGAGGCGCTTACAGGGTTCCCTATATCCTCCGTGTGTTTGTACTTACCGAGTGGCGCTTACAGGGTTCCCTATATCCTCCGTGTGTTTGTACTTACCGTTTGGCGCTTACATGGTTCCCTATATCCTCCATGTGTTTGTACTTACCGTTTGGCGCTTACAGGGTTCCCTATTGTACTTACCGTTTCCTCCCCCTACATCCTGTGTTTGTACTTACCGAGGGGCGCTTACAGGGTTCCCTATATCCTCCGTGTGTTTGTACTTACCGAGCGGCGCTTACAGGGTTCCCTATATCCTCCGTGTGTTTGTACTTAGAGGGTTCCCTATATTCACTGTGTGTTTGTACTTACAGGGTTCCCTATATCCTCCGTGTGTTTGTACTTAGAGAGTTCCCTATATCCACCGTGTGTTTGTACTTACCGAGTGGCGCTTACAGGGTTCCCTATATCCTCCGTGTGGTTGTACATACCGAGTGGCGCTTACAGGGTTCCCTATATCCTCCGTGTGTTTGTACTTACTGTTTGGCGCTTACAGGGTTCCCTATATCCTCCGTGTGGTTGTCCTTACCGAGTGGCGCTTACAGGATTCCCTATATCCTCCGTGTATTTGTACTTAGAGGGTTCCCTATATCCACTGTGTGTTTGTACTTACAGGGTTCCCTATATCCTCCGTGTGTTTGTACTTACCGTTTGGCGCTTACAGGGTTCCCTATATCCTCCGTGTGGTTGTACTTACCGAGTGGCGCTTACAGGGTTCCCTATACCCTCCGTGTGTTTGTACTTAGTGGGTTCCCTATATCCACTGTGTGTTTGTACTTACAGGGTTCCCTATATCCTCCGTGTGTTTGTACTTACCGTTTGGCGCTTACAGGGTTCCCTATACCCTCCGTGTGTTTGTACTTAGTGGGTCCCCTATATCCACTGTGTGTTTGTACTTACAGGGTTCCCTATATCCTCCGTTTGTTTGTATTTACCGAGTGGCGCTTACAGGATTTCCTACATCCTCCGTGTGTTTGTACTTACCGAGAGGCGCTTACAGGGTTCCCTATATCCTCCGTGTGTTTGTACTTACCGAGTGGCGCTTACAGGGTTCCCTTTATCCTCCGTGTGTTTGTACTCACCGTTTGGCGCTTACAGGGTTCCCAATAGCCTCCATGTGTTTGTACTTACCGTTTGGCGCTTACAGGGTTCCCTACATCCTCCGTGTGTTTGTACTTACCGAGGGCGCTTACAGGGTTCCCTATATCCTCCGTGTGTTTGTACTTACCGAGTGGCGCTTACAGGGTTCCTTACATCCTCCGTGTGTTTGTACTTAGAGCGTTCCCTATATCCACCGTGTGTTTGTACTTACCGAGTGGCGCTTACAGGGTTCCCTATATCCTCCGTGTGTTTGTACTTACCGTTTGGCGCTTACAGGGTTCCCTATACCCTCCATGTGGTTGTACTTACCGAGTGGTGCTTACAGGGTTCCCTATACCCTCCGTGTGTTTGTACTTACAGGGTTCCCTATATCCTCCGTGTGTTTGTACTTACCAAGTGGCGCTCACAGGGTTCCCTACATCCTCCGTGTGTTTGTACTTACCGAGAGGCGCTTACAGGGTTCCCTATATCCTCCGTGTGTTTGTACTTACCGAGCGGCGCTTACAGGGTTCCCTACATCCTCCGTGTGTTTGTACTTACCGAGGGGCGCTTACAGGGTTCCCTATATCCTCCGTATGTTTGTACTTACCGAGCGGCGCTTACAGGGTTCCCTACAACCTCCGTGTGTTTGTACTTACCGTTTGGCGCTTACAGGGTTACCTATATCCATCCGTGTCGTTGTACTTACCGAGAGGCTCTTACAGGGTTCCCTATATCCTCCGTGTGGTTGCACTTAGAGGGTTCCCTATATCCTCCGTGTGTTTGTACTTACAGGGTTCCCTATATCCACCGTGTGTTTGTACTTACCGAGTGGCGCTTACAGGGTTCCCTATACCCTCCGTGTGTTTGTACTTAGTGGGTTCCCTATATCCACTGTGTGTTTGTACTTACAGGGTTCCCTATATCCTCCGTGTGTTTGTACTTACCGTTTGGCGCTTACAGGGTTCCCTATACCCTCCGTGTGTTTGTACTTAGTGGGTCCCCTATATCCACTGTGTGTTTGTACTTACAGGGTTCCCTATATCCTCCGTGTGTTTGTACTTACCGAGTGGCGCTTACAGGGTTTCCTACATCCTCCGTGTGTTTGTACTTACCGAGAGGCGCTTACAGGGTTCCCTATATCCTCCGTGTGTTTGTACTTACCGAGTGGCGCTTACAGGGTTCCCTTTATCCTCCGTGTGTTTGTACTCACCGTTTGGCGCTTACAGGGTTCCCAATAGCCTCCATGTGTTTGTACTTACCGTTTGGCGCTTACAGGGTTCCCTACATCCTCCGTGTGTTTGTACTTACCGAGGGGCGCTTACAGGGTTCCCTATATCCTCCGTGTGTTTGTACTTACCGAGTGGCGCTTACAGGGTTCCTTACATCCTCCGTGTGTTTGTACTTAGAGCGTTCCCTATATCCACCGTGTGTTTGTACTTACCGAGTGGCGCTTACAGGGTTCCCTATATCCTCCGTGTGTTTGTACTTACCGTTTGGCGCTTACAGGGTTCCCTATACCCTCCATGTGGTTGTACTTACCGAGTGGTGCTTACAGGGTTCCCTATACCCTCCGTGTGTTTGTACTAACAGGGTTCCCTATATCCTCCGTGTGTTTGTACTTACCAAGTGGCGCTCACAGGGTTCCCTATATCCTCCGTGTGTTTGTACTTACCGAGAGGCGCTTACAGGGTTCCCTATATCCTCCGTGTGTTTGTACTTACCGAGAGGCGCTTACAGGGTTCCCTACATCCTCCGTGTGTTTGTACTTACCGAGGGGCGCTTACAGGGTTCCCTATATCCTCCGTGTGTTTGTACTTACCGAGCGGCGCTTACAGGGTTCCCTACATCCTCCGTGTGTTTGTACTTACCGTTTGGCGCTTACAGGGTTACCTATATCCATCCTAGTGGTTGTACTTACCGAGAGGCTTTTACAGGGTTCCCTATATCCTCCGTGTGGTTGCACTTAGAGGGTTCCCTATATCCTCCGTGTGGTTGTACTTACAGGGTTCCCTATATCCTCCGTGTGGTTGTACTTACCGAGAGGCGCTTACAGGGTTCCCTCAACCTCCGCGTGTTTGTACTTAGATGGTTCCCTATATCCTCCATGTGTTTGTACTTAGAACGTTCCCTATATCCACCGTGTGTTTGTACTTACCGAGTGGCGCTTACAGGGTTCCCTATATCCTCCGTGTGGTTGTACTTACCGTTTGGCACTTACAGGGTTCCCTATATCCTCCATGTGGTTGTACTTACCGAGTGGCGCTTACAGGGTTCCCTATATCCTCCGTGTGTTTGTACTTACCGAGTGGCGCTTATAGGGTTCCCTATATCCACCGTGTGTTTGTACTTAGAGTGTTCCCTATATCCTCCCCGTGGTTGTACTTACCGAGTGGCGCTTACAGGGTTCCCTTTATCCTCCGTGTGTTTGTACTTAGAGGGTTCCCTATATCCACCGTGTGTTTGTACTTACCGAGTGGCGCTTACAGGGTTCCCTATATCATCCGTGTGTTTGTACTTAGAGGGTTCCCTATATCCACTGTGTGTTTGTACTTACAGGGTTCCCTATATCCTCCGTGTGTTTGTACTTAGAGAGTTCCCTATATCCACCGTGTGTTTGTACTTACCGAGTGGCGCTTACAGGGTTCCCTATATCCTCCGTGTGGTTGTACATACCGAGTGGCGCTTACAGGGTTCCCTATATCCTCCGTGTGTTTGTACTTACCGAGCGGCGCTTACAGGGTTCCCTACATCCTCCGTGTGTTTGTACTTACCGAGTGGCGCTTACAGGGTTCCCTCTATCCTCCGTGTGTTTGTACTTACCGAGTGGCGCTTACAGGGTTCCCTACATCCTCCGTGTGTTTGTACTTACCGAGTGGCGCTTACATGGTTCCCTATATCCTCCGTGTGTTTGTACTTACCGTTTGGCGCTTACAGGGTTCCCTATATCCATCCGTGTGGTTGTACTTACCGAGAGGCTCTTACAGGGTTCCCTATATCCTCCGTTTGGTTGCACTTAGAGGGTTCCCTATATCCTCCCTGTGTTTGTACTTACAGGGTTCCCTATATCCTCCGTGTGGTTGTACTTACCGAGTGGCGCTTACAGGGTTCCCTGTATCCTCCGTGTGTTTGTACTTACCTAGTGGCGCCTACAGGGTTCCCTACATCCTCTGTGTTTGTACTTACCGAGTGGCGCTTACAGGGTTCCCTACATCCTCCGTGTGGTTGAGTGCGATGTAGCGTCCAACAGCAGGCGGGTAGCGGGACATTGTATAGTGTTTCCAGTTTAGCCTGACCAATGTACAACAGGACGAATTGACTGGGTTTTTTTTCTTCAGGAAATACAATTTTTCACTGAAAGGTACATGCAGCGATCCTACAACAACGTGACAGAAGTGGAAGTGCAGCACTAACACTTTAGCTAAGTTATACCACATCTTTAATCGAAAGGAAGAATATTTGACGTTCGATACGATGTTTTTATGCCGACACTACCATTTTACCATCAGTTCATCTCGGCGTCCCGTACAACACAATATTTTACCGTTATAACAACACTCCATTACGTTGTAGCACAACCGCCTTTTGTCTTGACATTAATGTATTATACAACACTGCATTGTGTACTCTCCTGTCACATGTGATTCTCATATAACATATTTGCATGGCTCTTTTGTCTCTCGACATTACTGTTTTACAGCAGCACTACACGGGAAGCGTTATGACACTCCGTATCTTGACATGACCGGATTACCTGTATAACAAGTCATCATCTTCTCCTCCCCAGCCGAAGTACAGATTGGAATGACCATTTACGTGCTGATACACGTCACGTGACACGGCAACGACACCTCCAGCATATTCAGGAAATGATACACTGGAATCAGAAAACATGTGGCATGTTATAAATGATGTACGAGGCTGAAGGTTCGTTCACTGAGTAAAACACTACGATTACTACACCAGGATTATGAACCGATGTAACAGACTAGAAGTACGTTTTGGGGTGATATACCTGGATTATAAACCAATGTAACAGACTAGAGGTACGTTTCTGGGTGATATACCTGGATTATAAACCAATGTAACAGCCTACAGGTACGTTTCTGGGTGATATACCTGGATGATGTAACAAACTAGAGGTACGTTTCTGGATTATGAACAGATTTATCGGGTAGAAGGTTTATTCACTGAATGGTACACTATCATTATAAATGGATGCATGAAGTTTGATTATATTCACTGGTTTATACACTATCATTATAAAGGGATGCATGAAGTTTGATTATCGTCACTGATATATGCACTAAATTATAAACAGTTGCATGAAGTTTGATTATCGTTACTGATATATGCACTAAATTATAAACAGTTGCGTGAAGTTTGATTATCGTCACTGATATATGCACTAAATTATAAACAGTTGCATGAAGTTTGATTATCGTCACTGATATATGCACTAAATTATAAACAGTTGCATGAAGTTTGATTATCGTCACTGATATATGCACTATCATTATAAAGGGATGCATGAAGTTTGATTATCGTCACTGATATATGCACTAAATTATAAACAGTTGCATGAAGTTTGATTATCTTCAGTGATTTATACACTATTCTGACAATGCTAAACAATGACGTTGTTTTTAAGTATCGAACTGAGAAAGTTACTCGGTAAGAAGAACGTGTGGTGAAATGGTCAAATGAAATTATGTAAACAGTTAAATCGGCAATCTAGTGTCATAATATATAAAAAGCTCGCGCCTGTGAAATATCAACAAAAAAACGCCAGCGAAGGATTTCAGTCTTGAAATGCCGAACGCCTCACCGTTTGACACATAGCTGAGTAGATCTAGATGCTTAACAAGGTTATTTTATGTAACGAGTAGATTATTTACTAATTATTGTTTCTATGCACAACCAAGATGAGACAACTCCTGCTCACGGCATTATAATCCAGGCACCTAGCTATTAGCGCAGCACAGCACAGCTGTTGAAACCACTTTTCACCCCAGCTGGGGTTATTTTTGTGACTCGTTTTTTTCAGCGCGTTATTCATAAGTTGAATTTGCATATTTGAGAATTTGTTACATTAAGTTCATACCAAAAGGTATCAGAATCTGCAAAGTTGTGTTTTGCGTTGCATGTAAGTTTTAATGTTCATTAGGCACCTCAAGTACATGTACATAGAGATTTGACATGGACTAGTTCATAAAGGTCTCAGCATCATGGGTGGATGAAAAGCAAAGAACACTCAAAGTTTTGGCTGTTAATTGTCCTTGAAACAGGATACAATGCCACGAGTACTCTGCCTCAGATGTTGTTTACGGCACAATGAACACAGCTCATCCTAACCAACACCAAGCCACCGAGGGACTGATTTCACCTCTCTGTTCATCCCAACCAACACCAAGCCACCGAGGGACTGATTTCACCTCTCTGTTCATCCCAACCAACACCAAGCCACCGAGGAACTGATTTCACCTCTCTGTTCGTCCATACCAACACCAAGCCACCAAGGGACTGATTTCACCTCTCTGTTCATCCCAACCAACACCAAGCCACCAAGGGACTGATTTCACCTCTCTGTTCATCCCAACCAACACCAAGCCACCGAGGGACTGATTTCACCTCTCTGTTCGTCCCAACCAACACCAAGCCACCGAGGGACTCATTTCACCTCTCTGTTCGTCCCAACCAACACCAAGCCACCGAGGGACTGATTTCACCTCTCTGTTCGTCCCAACCAACACCGATTTCACCTCTCTGTTCGTCCCAACCAACACCAAGCCACCGAGGGACTCATTTCACCTCTCTGTTCGTCCCAACCAACACCAAGCCACCGAGGGACTGATTTCACCTCTCTGTTCGTCCCAACCAACACCAAGCAACCGAGGAACTGATTTCACCTCTCTGTTTATCCCAACCAACACCAAGCCACCGAGGGACTGATTTCACCTCTCTGTTCGTCCATATCAACACCAAGCCACCAAGGGACTGATTTCACCTCTCTGTTCATCCCAACCAACACCAAGCCACCGAGGAACTGATTTCACCTCTCTGTTCGTCCATATCAACACCAAGCCACCAAGGGACTGATTTCACCTCTCTGTTCATCCCAACTAACACCAAGCCACCAAGGGACTGATTTCACCTCTCTGTTCATCCCAACCAACACCAAGCCACCGAGGAACTGATTTCACCTCTCTGTTCATCCCATGCAAAACCAAGCCACCGAGGGACTGATTTCACCTCTCTGTTCATCCCAACCAACACCAAGCCACCGAGGAACTGATTTCACCTCTCTGTTCGTCCCAACCAACACCAAGCCACCGAGGGACTGATTTCACCTCTCTCTTCATCCATACCAACACCAAGCCACCGAGGGACTGATTTCACCTCTCTGTTTATCCCAACCAACACCAAGCCACCGAGGGACTGATTTCACCTCTCTGTTCATCCCAACCAACACCAAGCCACCGAGGGACTGATTTCACCTCTCTGTTCATCCCAACCAACACCAAGCCACCGAGGAACTGATTTCACCTCTCGGTTCATCCCAACCAACACCAAGCCACCGAGGGACTGATTTCACCTCTCTGTTCACCCTAACCAACACCAAGCCACCAAGGAACTGATTTCACCTCTCTGTTCATCCCAACCAACACCAAGCCACCGAGGAACTGATTTCACCTCTCGTATGTGCATTACTTCAGCCTGCCCTAGTATGTGATTCTGTCTGTGCCTGTTCTAGAGCCAGCCACTGGTAACCAAGATAAGGTAGATGACATCATCAGCTCTGACAAGAACATACTTACTCATGAGACTTGATGTCATCATGAAGTTTCCAAACATGATGCTGCTTGGATGTAGTAATATGCTGTGTCATGGTAGTTTAAGTAGTTGAAATTACCTTTCAAACTGACCGTTAGGCACCATCCCATACCACCTGCAATGTTTGCGGAACCATCTTCAAACACTACGCTCAGCTGAAGTAATCAGGGAGCCACACAGATCTTGAGCATCAAATGCTTACCAAGCAAGAAAGAAGGATGGTCGTCTCAGGATGTGTGTGGATTTTCACCAACTCTATGAACTCTTCCATTCTTGGCTTACTTTCTTCGTGAATGCATATTTGTTGTGAAAATACCAGCTACGTATATACTGTACTGAGAGCTATCACCCTAGTGTCAACTACAGTGTAGAGAACAAACACACTTGTGCCATCTACAGCGCTGAGAACAGACACGTTAGTGTCACTCACAGCGCTGAGAACAAACACGTTTGTGTCACTCACAGCGCTGAGAACAAACACCATAGTGTTATCCACAGTGCAGAGAACAAACATACTAGTGCCACCCACAGTGCTGAGAACAAACACCCTAGTGTCATCCACAGTGCTGAGAACAAAACCCCTAGTGTCATCCACAGTGTAGAAAACAAACACTTTTGTGTCATCCACAGTCCTTAGAACAAACACCATAGTGTCATCCACAGCGCTGAGAACAAACACCCTAGTGTCATCCACAGCGCTGAGAACAAACACCATAGTGTCATCCACAGTGCTGAGAACAAACACCATAGTGTCATCCACAGTGCTGTGAACAAACACACTAGTGTCACCCACTGTGCTGGGAACAAACACCATAGTGTCATCCACAGTGCTGGGAACAAACACCCTAGTGTCATCCACAGCGCTGAGAACAAACACCCTAGTGTCATCCAGTGCTGAAAACAAACACCATAGTGTCATCCACAGTGCTGAAAACAAACACTATAGTGTCATCCACAGTGTAGAGAACAAACAGACTAGTGTTATCCACAGTGTAGAGAATAAACACACTAGTGCCATCCACAGCGCTGAGAACAAACACCATAGGGTCATCCACAGTGCTGAGAACAAACACCATAGTGTCATCCACAGTGCTGTGAACAAACAAACTAGTGTCACCCACTGTGCTGGGAACAAACACCATAGTGTCATCCACAGTGCTGGGAACAAACACCCTAGTGTCATCCACCGCGCTGAGAACAAACACCCTAGTGTCATCCACAGTGCTGAAAACAAACACCATAGTGTCATCCACAGTGCTGAAAACAAACACCATAGTGTCATCCACAGTGCTGAAAACAAACACCATAGTGTCATCCACAGTGTAGAGAACAAACAGACTAGTGTTATCCACAGTGTAGAGAATAAACACACTAGTGCCATCCACAGCGCTGAGAACAAACACCATAGGGTCATCCACAGTGCTGAAAACAAACACCATAGTGTCATCCGCAGTGTAGAGAACAAACAGACTAGTGTTATCCACAGTGTAGAGAATAAACACACTAGTGTTATCCACAGTGCTGAGAACAAACACACTAGGGTCATCCACAGTGCTGTGAAAAAACACCCTAGTGTCATCAACAGTGTAGAGAACAAACACCGTAGTGTCATCCACAGTGTAGAGAACAAACTCCCTAGTGTCACCCACAGTGCTGAGACCAAACACCATAGTGTCATCCACCGCGCTGAGAACAAACACACTATGGTCATCCACCGTGCTGAGAACAAACACCATAGTGTCATCCACCGCGCTGAGAACAAACACACTAGGGTCATCCACAGTGTAGAGAACAAACACCATAGTGTCATCCACAGTTCGGAGAAAAAACACCACAGTGTCATCCACAGCGTAGAGAACAAACAAACTAGTGTCATCCACAGTGCTGAGTACAAACACCCTAGTGTCATCCGCAGTGTAGAGAACAAACACCCTAGTGTCATCCACAGTGCTGAAAACAAACACCGCCTAGTGTCATCCACAGTGCTGAGTACAAACACCGTAGTGTCATCCACAGTGCTGAGAACAAACACCATAGTGTCAT